GAAAGTATATTCCTTGCCTGGAGAGCTATTTTTATGAATTTCTCGCTGGCAACTAGTTGTGACTTACAGCTGGCTGGGACATAAGAACAGATATATCTTCTCCCAGGAACCCGTCGGCTTCTCCTATATCTTGTCATCAGTGAGTCCGGAACGAAGGGGTTATGACTGAATGCCACGTGTGTACGATGCCAATAGCACTGAGTCAAATTTAATAGAGGATCCATTTACTCTGGATAATTTTTCTAGGTCAGAAATTATATGACTGGTGTAACATTTGCTTTAAAGCGTGCGCATCTATAAGTTGGGTATTCCCATATCTTCTATTATAAAGGGAATTAAGTTTACTTATACCAAGATAATCTGAATGACCGTTGATCATTTCTTCGCTGGTTTTGGTCTGTGGTGGAGGTTTCTTGCCTTTCCGTAAAAAATGACGACGGTATATAGGCGTGATGACCACCATGTCTGCACTCGAGGACCCGTACTGATAGCTACTTTATATTGCGTTCTTTTCTTTGACTTCACTAACTTTCTTGAAGGAGTACGTCCCCCAAAAGGGAATTTGGAATTTGAAGGTTTCAGGGTCTTCTTGTTACATAAAGACGCTTTTACGAATTTTAGAGTAGATTTTATTTTTTTCGCGCCGTAAGCTGCAGAGATACAGTCCTCCACTGAATGGTCCAAAATGACAATAGCATCGATGTTCTGGGCTTACATCGTTTTGCTCGTCTCCTTCTGATCGGTAACAAGCTGATTGGAAGACTTTAAGAGGGCTAATGTTACCTTTTGTAAAGACTGCAGTATATCACTATGGTTTTGATTTTTTAACAGGGAAGTTGGGACTGGTATCTTGACAACCTTGTTGCTCAATCAAAAGACGGAAGTGGTACAGCCCACGTTGATAAAGCATGTATCATTGGTATTGATGGTGGTGCTCTATGGACGTCACACAGGCCAGCAAATGCAATAAAGGTATAACAGCATTTCTCCGCTTTCAATCTGCTCTCATCGTATATCCATTATAAATTGTTATAAAAGAAGTTGTCAAAAAGGAATTTTATTTGTGGTAATATAAATTGTGCCGAAAAACTGAAGATTGCGTGTAATAGTGTGTTGGCCCTGGGTAGCTTTTTAATTCGAAAGGTGACTGGGAACGAGCTGGAACGACCATGAAAATAGATCTGTTAGTGTTATTTTCAGCCTTGAAACTATTTGGTTGATTAATTCTCACCGAGTAGCGATCATCATATCGTATTTCTGGAGACGCTCAGCCCTTGTAGTTAGCCTAGGGATAACAAAGTACATTAGCTCTGATGTTGACAATATCGTGATTTGTTATAGCTTCAGCCAACGGAAGCTCCTAGCATTGCAAAGTGCTTCAAGTCAAGAGATTTCACTTCTTTCAAGACTAATGGAATTACTGYAGAAGGAACAACCTATCAGTTTTTACGAGAGGAAGACGGAAAAAACGTTTACGGAAAAAGCAATGGTAATGGAGCTATTATTTTACAAGCCAGTAAAACCGCAGTAGTCATTGCTCATTGCATCGAGGGAATGCAACAATCCAATTGTAGCAGAGCCGTGGCAGTGATAGCAGAGTTTCTTGAATCACGAGGCATGTAAGCCGACGAACTAAGCTTATCAATTTGCAGTGTTAAATTCTGAACCTTGTAAAACTAAAGTCATAAGTTTCAAGTATGTCAGTCTGAATATAAAAATAACAGGGAAAAATAAATATAATAAATAAAAATAACAATTAGTAACAGGGGAAAACATTTCTCGCAATAAAAATAATAATTGGGATATTTCAAGTGTCGCTTTCATGATACTTGGAGGACTCGATTCACATTCGCTTTATAATTACACAGGGTCTTTGTAGCCAGGCGTTCCTTACCGCTACGAGGGAGTTTGGGATGGTACTCTAAACGAACTCCAAACGCTTATCACATTGGTTGTTCGTCCTATTCCTGTATTAAACACGTGTTTAAGCATGTAATATCAAAAGACAAACACGACCTAACTTCATTTCCTGAATATACCCACATATATTTTATGTATAGTACTTTTGAATGTTACTCCATCAAAAATTGAACAAAAAATAACAAAAACTAAATATATTTCAAAAACATTCTTATGATTTGTTTTACATCAAGTGAACTTTACTTATACATACATATATAAATAGTGAGTTACTTTAAAATTAAGAAAATTAATGGACCATTGCTAGACCCATTAGACAGTCCATCTTAATACAGTGTCAGAGAACTGTGAGCTTTCTTTAATAGAGTTTTGTATCCCATATCACTAGAGACTGTATGGACTAGAAAGTCTAGAAGTGTGTTATGTCTGTTATACACTGTAAATTGAAAAGAGCTGATTCGGCCCCAAAACCCAAAACGGGCCCTTAATGTAAAAAGACAAATAAGCCCTATACGGGGCCATTTTGGGTTATAGGAGCTAAATTAGCTCCATAAAAAGCTATTTTAGCCCCATAAATAGGGGCGGTATTTTTACCTTGCGTTTCAGCCCCATTTTTAGGCCCGATTCAGCTCATTCCAATTTACATTGTAGTTGACAAGTTATGAGCGTTTTTTCTCTACTAGCTCTAATTTATCAAGCCAAGTGTTTTAATACAATGTCACATTTAAGAAAACGGCTGACAAAATTTACTTGAAAGAGTTGTTACTACCAACATGGATGATTCTGAATTATCGCTTTTTCGCAGCGCGTGCCGTATCAATTTTCTGCTAAACACACGTTTATAGCTTTCTAACTTTGTTGTCTTGTGTGCTGCGTGCGTCTTATTTCAATCACGACAAAATATATACCGATGAAAAAGGCCACATTTTGACCAAGCTTATTAATAATTTTTTTATACCGATTCTTTGTCAAGTTTTGAACACTTTAAGTCAGAATGAAGTCGTGAATAAGTACGTTACATTAAATATCTAATTATAAAACGGTAAATGCGCGTAATTTTCAATTATAATCTGCACTTTAAACTCTGGGACATTCCCTTTTAGAGACATGCACAAAATATCCTCGCGTCGCTGAAATAATTGAAAGTATGAGAAAAAACGCGCGCGCGCGCTGTTTCCATCCGCATAAAAAGGCGCGAAAAAGATTTACAACTGTGTTTCCATTTGTTTTGCAAAACCACCTATCTCAGGCTTTGAATGTATGACTTTGTAACTATAAAATTCCTAATTTCACACACTTCGCGTATGCGCAGACACTACATTACTGGAGTAGTGATGTATTTTGCCTGTGAATATCCGTTGCTGTCGTAACAGATTGGAAGCGACCGTGTGGTGTCTCCATATGTATTCCCAAATCTGAAGCGTCGTTCTGTGAAAGTATATCAATATAACTGATTTAATTATTATTCTAAATGTTAGTTTTAACTCTAAAATTCATGAATTATATCTATATTAGTTAGTTCCAAATGCTTGTCTTGTTATTTTTGTCGAGCCGTTTCCGTAAAATAACAAGCACGAGAATAGACTCTGGAACCACGTTACTACGGAGATACAGGTATACTTACGTGGAATGTATCCTGTGTATTTAGGTTTCATGCCAAACGTTTTGTAAAGTGTGCCGTGTTCAATGTTAGACACTTTAACTGTCGCCTCAGGGATTCTAAGAAAATAAAGTATAAAAACACTTTTAATTTGAAAAAAGTTCTGAAGATCATATATCATGCGTGCTCGTGGGGTGTGGGGTTGGGGATGTACGTCAGGCATGCGCAGTATGGAATAGGACCCTGCGATCGAGATTGAATACTAAATACACACTTACAGTCAACACTCTCGTAAGCGACCACCTCGGGATCAGGAAAAATGGTCGCTGACGAGAGATGGTAGATTACGAGAGAGTTTCTTTTACAGAGTTTATATGGGAAACAATTATAACGGGAAATTTAAAGGTGGTCGCTTACGGGAGATGGTCGCTTATACGAGAGTGGTCGTTCAAAGAAAGTCAACTGTATTCAGAATTTGCATTCACTGATACCAACCTTGTCACATCAATTCTTTGTGTTGCAAGATTTTCTTGTTTATGCCTCATGGTTAGCGAGTCTGTAAAACCTCCCTTTGTCCATACGGCGTATCTTGTGCCAAGGTCGTGCTCGCGCCTGCGTGGTACGTACCCGGTGTAGCCGGGCAATGGTGGCTCGCAGAACTCGCGCTGCTCACCTACAAGACAACCCCTTTAAGCAATCTTCGTATGTCGACTGATTATAGCAACATAGTTTCACCCGTATGTATTTTCTCCGTCACTCAGAATTAGTAGCAATATGCCTTTTTGCATGAAGCGGACACATGGTACTAAATCCGCCATGCTGGATAGCAAAAAAATGTAAACAGCCTCAAATGAAAACGTACGCAGCAAGTTCGAGCTTGACTTTTCTTCATAGTTGTTTTGAACTTCCCAGTGGGTATTTTTAGTGCCATTCAGTCATGGCGGATTTAGTACCATGTGACCGTTTCACTTATGCAAAGGGGCTTATTTATGTCCTTTAGAAGTTGTAGAAGTCACAGTGTTGATGTACATAATGAAATCTAGTGGTTTGATGTACATCAACATGGCCGCTGTGACATCACGAAAACCAACCGAAGAATAAGGGGAAAGAGAGGTAAGGGCTCAGGGCATTATTAAAGAAGTACCAAGAAAACTGAAAATGCATATAAGGTACCAGAAACAAAAATGTTATGTTTTCAAAAAATAAAAACGTCTGACGTTTTCAAAATTGTCACTCAACATAATCGTAGATGCTTTGGCAAGTCAAGGACACCTGTTGCATCAAGTGGAGATGATAAATAAGCTTTTTGCAACAAATTTTGCAGTTTTCTACTTGTTAAATGGTTGCGTAACCATGCATTATGCTTACGTTGTGTCATTGCGCAACATTTTGATTACAGTTATATTCCAACAAGTAACATGCGCGTAATTTGCCGAATTTGCAAATTCTTTCATTGCGCGCACGCGTGTAAAACGCAAAGTATCATTTTCATCATTGCGCGACAGGCTAGACGGTTAAATATTTAGTAATTCAACATCACCTTATTGGTCGACGTAGTTCGTAAATAATCACATTTATATTGGCAATACTAACACACATAAAATGGCGCTACAAGAAATTCTATGAATCAYACTAACTTGGAAAGTAGTTCTTGGAATATCTTGGTTTAAGGTCTGGATACATGGTAGGGTCTTGGAAATCAGCGCGAGTTTTCAACGTTGGAGTCGAGTAAACCGTTTTCTTCAGTTC